CAGCAGCAGCAGCAGCAGCAGCAGCAGCACACATTTTGTCTGCGAAGTAGAAAGAGCCCGCGACTGGCAGGCAGGAGAACTCGAGGCCGTAGCCCAGCCGCTGGGCGAAGAGGAGAGAATGCCCGCAGGCGCTGACGACAACAAAGCGGGCCTATAAAAGAAAAAAGAAATAAATAAAAACAAAAAATAAAAAGAAATAAACGAAATAAAAAGAAATAAAGAAATAAAAGGAAATAAAAGAAATAAAAGAAATAAACAGAAACGAACAGAGACAAAAGAAAAATAAATAAAAGAGGCAAAGAAATTGAAAAAAGAAACAAAAAGGAAAAAAACGAGAAAAAGAAAGAAGAAAGTAAGAAAAAAGAAAAAGAGAAAAGAAATAAAGAAATAAAGAAATAAAGAAATAAAAGAAATAAAAGAAATGAAAAATAAAAGGTTTTATTTGTTGCAAAAAAGAAAATGAAATCCAGTGGCCTTTGCAACAAAAAGAAACAAAACAACAAACAAAATGAAATGCAAATTGAATTAATTAAAATAAACCAAATCAAATCAATCAAATTAATTGAATTAAATGAAAGTAATTAAATTAATTAAATTAAATTAGTTAAATTAAATTAAATTAAATTAATTAAATTAATTTAATTAATTAAATAAAATACCTTTTTAATTCCTTTGTCGGTAATTAAAGAAAACAAATTTTTGTCTTCTCTTTTAATCTCTAGCACTTCAGTTCCCAAGGAAAAGTCCAGTTGCTGCAAAACCAATTTATTATTTATTTATTTTTTTAATTTCATTTTTATTTATTTTATTTTTATTTTATCTTTATTTATATTTCAAGTTTAATTCAATTCGCAGTTGTCACTAGAGTTCTGTTAGCTCATAAATTCGCCTCAGAATCGTGTAGCTGCTGCTGCTGCTGCTGCTGCTGCTGCTTCTGCTGCTGCTGCTGTTGTTGTTGTTGTTGTTGTTGCTCACTGTGCCACCCCAACCTATTTTGCTGCTGCTGCTGCTGCTGCTACTCCTACTACACCTGCTGCTGGTGCTGGTGCTGGTGCTGCTGCTGCTCCTGCTACAGCTGCTGCTGCTGCTGCTGCACTATAGGTCCTAATTTCTGCTGCTGGAACAACTGCTGCTCGCTCCACTACAGCTGCTGCTCCCCCCGCCACCCCAACCCCACCCCCACCGCTGCCGCTGCCGCTGCTGCTGCTGCTGCTGCTGCTGCTGCTGCTGACCTTTCCTGCTGCTGCTTGTTTGGCTGCGCTGACGAAAGCTTCTGCCAGGGAAATGTAATTAACAGCAGTATGTTCATTGGGAACGAAAAGGCCGCAAACTTCGTCATCTCGCGGGCTGCTGCTGCTCTTCATTCCCACGCGCGGCTCCAGCTCGCATATCTGCAGCAGCAGCAGCAGCAGCAGCAGCAGCAGCAGCGAGAGCGGCGGCGAAAAAGGAGCGGCGGGAAAAGCGGCAGGAACAGCGGCAGCAGAATAGCAGCAGCAGCAGGGCAGCAGCAGCAGCAACAGCAGGGGGCGAAAATCCACGTTTGGCTTTTTTGCTGCTGCTGTGTCTTGCTGCTGCTTATTTTATTCTAATATTCAAAGGCGCTTTTCTGCTGCTGCTGCCGCTGCTGCTCTGCTGCAGCTGCTGGCGCTGCTTCTGCTGCTGCTGCACTGCTGCTGCTTCTTGTGCTGCTGCTGCTGCTGCAGCTCTGTTGCTGCTGCTTCTCGCGCTGCTGCTGCTGCTGCTGCTGCTCTGCTGCTGCTGCTGCTGCTGATGCTGCTGCTGCTGCTGCTGCTCTGCTGCTGCTGCTGCTGCTGAAGTACCTCTGTTTTGCCGACGAGTTGCAAAGAAGAGAAAAGAGGTTTAAAAGTTTGAAATCTTTTTTTCATGAAATCGCATTCTTCGTCTCCAACTGCCAGCGCCATTTTCGGAAAACGAAAAATAACTCTACACGCAAAACAAGAAGCAGCGAACTCCAAGTGCAGCAGCAGCAGCAGCAGCAGCAGAAGCAGCAGCACCGGGAGCAGGAGCTCTAGTTGGAAGCAAAGGAGCTTCTTTTTGCTGCTCACAAACGGCGGGGTAATTTCTCGAAAAAATGGAATTTAAAATTTATTTATTTATCCAAACTTTTATTAGTTATTTATTCTTTAATTCAATTAATTTATTTATTTATTTTATTTATTTATTTTATTTATTTATTTTTTTATTTCATTTATTTTATTTGTTTTATTTATTCGAAATGTAATGACAAAATGAAAATTTTTAATTCAAATAAAGATCAGTAAAAAGGAGCAGCGGCAATTCGCAGCAGCAGACAAAACCCTAGAAAAGCTACCCTAAACCCTAAACCCTAAACCCTAAACCCTAAACCCTAGCCCTCACTTGTCTCTTGTTTCGGGGGGCAGTTTGGTGGCGAAGTTGCGAAGCATATCCGCTTGTCTCTTCACCACCTTGGCCTTCTCTGCATCCCCACAAACCCTAAACCCTAAACCCTAAACCCTAAACCCTAAACCCTCGGCTGCCCCCCATCTAAAACACCCTGTCCCATGGAGTGCAGGGTTTGCGACTGGCCGAAGAGTTGCAGCTCTGGGTCGCCCTCCGTATCAGGGCCAAGCGTTTAGGGTTTAGCGTTTAGTTAGGGTTTAGGGTTTAGGGTTTAGGGTTTACGAAGCGTATAGTTCGTCTCGATGTCCCCGCAGTGAATGGTTTGCGAATTGTTTCTGGGGTGGGACTGCACGAGCCCAAACCCTTGTCTCCTTTCCACCAGGCCGATCTTCTTAATATCTAAACCACAAACCCTAAACCCTAAACCCTAAACCCAAAACCCTAAACCCCAAGATCACTCCAAGGACAGCCCTGCTAGCTGGCGCCAAGAAGCGGTGGAGAAAGAAGTCGGCGGCGCTGAGCAGCTTTTACCGATCAGGGTTTGGGGTTTAGGGTTTAGGGTTTAGGGTTTAGGGTTTGCTGACTCGTGAAGGCAGCAAGCTCATAAAGCAGCGCCGTTCCAGCAACTCCTCCGCCAATAATGAAAACATCATAAGGGTCTCCTTGAGTGTTAATGCTGAGGTTTAGGGTTTGGGGTTTAGGGTTTTCAGTCGAGGGTTTAGGGTTTGGGGTTTGGGAGCCAGGGGCTGGCGAGGGTTTGGCGGGGGCCCCCTGCGCTGCAGAGACACTTGAAAAATGGGAGAGAGCAGCAGCAGCAGCAGCAGCAGCAGCACCGTTTCCCCTGAGGCAGCGCCGCGCTGCTGCTGCTGCTGCCGTTGTTGCTGCTGCTGCTGACGCTGCAGCAGCAGCAGCTCTGGAAAACAGAAGCGGCATCTTTGAAGGAAGAAGAGTGAAAAAGAAAGGCAGAAGAAGAGGGGCCCCAGCTGCTGCGTCAGCAGCTTAGGTGTACATACACCTGAAATAACCGCGGCAGCAAGCACACAGCTCCAAACAAAGCTTTAAATAAAACAAAAGAAACAAAACTAGTCAATTATTAAGGGTCTTTTCTTAATATCTCCCGCATGCAGCGGACAAACGGGGCCTGCTGGTGCTGCTGCTGCTGCTGCTGCTCCTGCTCGGCAGCAGCAGCAGGTGTGCCGTCCCTGGCGCTTTAACTTAGCGCAAATGGCCTTTAAATGTATTTTTAACTAAATTAAACAACACTTTTCAAACTTTCCATCTTTTTTCCTCCGTAAGAAGCCGCCAAATAGCCTCGACAGGGCGGACGGAAACGCCGCCGTGTACGTACACCTCAGGTCTTCCTGGGTTCTGTTGTTTCTCTTCCTTCAGCTACTCGTTATTTTCCCTCTTCATTTCATTTTTATTTATTTTTTATTTAATTTTATCTTTATTTTACATATTTGTTTATTGTTTGTTCAGTTATTTGTTCTCCAAAATTGTGTTCTGCTGCCGGTCGCTGCAAACTCTCCAACTGCTCGTTTTCTGCTGTTGCTGTTCTTCTTTAGAGCTGCTTTCGCTTCTTCATTACTTTACTTCTTTATTTTGTTTATTAATATATTTTTACGAATTTTTAAAATCCATTTTTCTCTTTTTGGTTCTTGTTTGCTGCGGTGCTGTTCCATTTTCATTGCTGCTGCTGCTACTGCAGTTCCTTTCAAGAAATTGAAACAGCAGCAAAAGTTCATAAATACGACTCGCGGCAGCTCTACATATGCAACTATAACTACAAATATGAACACAAATGCAATCACAAATAAAAATAAAAATGAAAATATATATTACAGATCCTGCATTGTGAGCTGTACGTACTCCCGTCAGAGCAACAACACCTCTGGAGATACACCCCAACGCGAATTCGTCTCTTTCATTTTTTATATTTTTTCCTCCAAAAGAAATTTGCAGAATAAAATCTGGAAGTGCCAACAAAGTAAAATAATTAAAGGCTGCAAGTGTCTTTGCATTTGCAACTAATGCAAGAAATGCTTTTTCCTGAAGCTGCTGCTCCTGTCTCCTTTTGTGTCTCTGCTGCTGCATTTGCTGCTGCCATGACCCTTTTGTCTCTTTTCTGTTTTCTTTTGAACTCTTTTTTTATTTTTTTTCATGTCAGAAATGGAAAAGAAATAGAGTCAAACAGCAGTAGCAGCAGCAGGTGAGCAGCAGCAGCAGCAGAAGAGCAGCAGCAACACAGCAGCAGCGCCCGAAGCAAGAGAACAAAAGAAAGGAGAAAAAAGAAAACAAAAGAAGAAACAAAACGAGGCAAAGACATAAACTGCCAGTTGCTTCTCTTCCTTGAAACCAAATAAATCTTCAACGAAAAACGAGACGAAGGAAGAAACAGGAAAGCAAAAACAACCCCACAGTGTCTGTACACCCCAAGGTGCCTGTACACCTGAGAAGCAGCGCGTCGGGCCGTTCGTCGCTCGAGTTTGTCTGCAAAAGGTTTTTATTTATTTCTTTATTTATTTCTTTTTTTAGAAACACTTTTAAAAGAAACAATTTTAAATCTCCGACAAGTTCACTGAAGCCCTAGGCCTCAGGGCCCCTGTCTGTACACCTGAAGTTCTCCGCCTTAACACCTCGAGCTGTCTATACACCCCAATACCACTCTCGAAAACCAAAATCTGCAAATACACCTCAAGAAGCTGCACATACACCTCAAGAAGCTGCATATACACCTCAAGAAGCTGCACATACACCTCAAGAAGCTGCAAATACACCTCAAGAAGCTGCATATACAGCTCACGAAGCTGCATATACACCCCAGGACAGCTGGGGCCAGTTAGTCAGCTGTCTATACACCCCACGCCTGTCTCCTCTTTGAGTCTTCTTTTTCTTCCTTGTCTCTGCCTTGCTCCCTGAAATACTTTTTAATCGCTTTTTATTTTTATTTTTATTTTTATTTTTGTTTAATTTCTCCAACCTTCGATGTGTGTTCTGCTTTTCTGCTTCTCTTTCCCAGCTGCTTCTGTTGTGCTGCTCCCGTTGTCCCTTTTGCTGCTGTCTCTTTTCTGCTGCTGCTTCTCGCTGAGTGTCTCTTCTCTTCAACTTATTTTACAAATTTATTCAATTTATTTTCCGAATTTAAATTCAAAATTCTTTTTTGTCTGCAGACTCCTCTCGTGTTTTTCTCCTTTTGTCTCTTTTAGTTTCTTCCTTTTAAAGGCTCCTCAGTCTCTCCGTTTGTCTCTTCCTATGTCTCCTTTTTCGTCTGCTGCTGCTGCTATTTCTGCTGCTGCTGCAGCTGCCAGAGTCTCCTTTCTTCCCCTGCTGCTGCTGCTGCTGCTGCTGCTGCTGCTGCTGCTGCTTCTCTCCTCCGTGTAGCATGTTTGTCTTCTGTCTTTCCTTCTTCTCTCTTTTCTCT